TTGATGTCTACAAAGCTGGATTTATAGTCCTTGAGTGCCTTATAGGCTTGAGCCCGTCTGTAAAATGCCTTCACGTTCTTCCCATCCAGCTTGAGGGCTTCTGTGCAGTCCTTCACCGCTTCCTTGTACTGCTTCAGGGCCAGATAGCAGAGCGCTCTGTGTACGTGGTGGACTCCAGTTACTATACGAGAGGCTTTCACTGTACTTCTCAATAGCTTTCTTACGGTTTCCCTTCTTTACAAGCTCATTGCTTTCTTCCTTCTGGCTCTCTCCACATCCCCAGAAGGCACTCTGCTCTTGGCAGTAGTGGTTTCTTTGGATTTGCCTTTAGGTATCTCTTTGTGATATTCTGAATCCCTCCTCTTCTGAGCTGAAACAGGCACCAAGGGGATAGAGGGCAGTTTCAGACGCCACTCCGGCCCAAGTGAGTCCACGAGAGCTCTGGGCGTTCTGTTGACGCCTTCCAAGGCTGACATCACACTGTCATCAATCTGAAGCACGGTCTTGTAGTCCACGTAGGCCAGGGGATACTGCTCCAGAGCCTCATGGGCCGATGCTTGCCGCAGCAATGGCTTCACGCTGAAGGGAACCAAGGCCAGTGCTGAAGTGCAATTTTTTTCTTTTTTATTGCTTAAAGTATTACAAAGAGTATTACATATGTCTCCCTTTTCCCCCCCTTGACAATTCCCTGGCCTCCCCTACCCCCCAGTGTCTTATGTCCATTGGTTATGCTTATATGCATGCATACAAGTCCTTCGGTTGATCTCTTACCCCACCTCCCGCCCGCTGAAGTGCAATCTGATGCAATCTCTGCAGTTCCCATCCTTCAAGTGGCATGCTGCTCGGTTGGAGTAGAGAACACTTTCTTCTTTATAGTCCAAAGAACCTTGCTCCTGCATCACCCGCTGCGCACGGCTGTAGAGTGAGGCGGCCTCGGAGAACTGGCCGTTGCCGAAGCTCTGGTTGCCCGCGGCGCGCAGCCGCTCTGCAGAGTCTGAGAGTTTGGGGGCCATCCTGGGGTCCCCCGGCAAATGGCGGCCGCCTCCGTTCCCGCCGCCGAGCCTTCCGGGGGGAAGCCAAGCGAGGAATTTAAAAAATATATATTTTTATTGATTTCAGAGAGGAAGGGAAAGGGAGAGAGAGATAGTAACATCAATGATGAGAGAGAATCACTGATCGGCTGCCTCCTGCTAGCCCCCTACTGGGGATTGAGCCCGAAACCCAGGCATGTGCCCTTGACCGAAATCAAACCCGGGACCTTTTAGTCCTCAGTCCACTGAGCCAGACTGGCTAGGGCTCAAGCAAGGAATTTAAGTGAAATTGCTATAAGAGAACTTCTTCCATTCCTTATCTTCATGAATATGTTAGACTGAATTCTCAAGAAGGCAAAGTGTAAAGAAAAGATTAGGTGCTAACATATTATTGGGTGGATGGGTGAATCTCAGGTCATTGAGAGTAAAAGACAAATGGAATGAGGCAGCAAAAGACAGAATGCCAATGCAACATGGTGCATTATTACACTTGTCACAGTTACAAAAAACTCAGTTGGTTGCTCAGATACATGGGCCATTTCTGCATTTATGGGAAGATTGCTTGGAGCTATTGGTTCTTAGAATAGTCTGTTAGGAAGAGAAAGGGCAAGGAGTTTATCTGTGGGCCTGTAACCATATCCTGCTTTTCACTGTCAAAGTTTGCCCCTGGAGTGTTAACCTCACACCCTTTCAGGTTATGTAACAGCCCCCCTGGGAAGTCGTTGGTGAAGCCAGAGCCTCTGTGAGTTGGAACTGGGCTGCGGCTGCCATAAGAGCATAATAAAGGCAGTTCTGAAGCTTAACCCACGACCCAGGGGAGGCCAAGGCACCCGTGGGATTAATTAGTGCAGTGAGGTTGTCGGGTGGGACTCTACACTGAGAGTTTTCTAGGTTTCCATGTTGCTTCTTGTAAAGAATAATGGGGGAAGTCTCCAGGGGATAATTACTGTGAATTTAATTATCTATCTATCTATCATCTATCTACCTACCTATCTATAGAATATTCATCTACAGCTATATGAATTGGGAAAAAAAAAAAAGAACATATAGCCCAGCCGGTTGAGTGTGGACCTATGAACCAGGGGATCACAATTTGATTCCTGGTCAGGGCACATGCCTGGGTTTGGGCTTGATCCCCAGTAGGGGGCATGCAGGAGGCAGCCGATCAGTGATTCTCTCTCATCATTGATGTTTCTATCTCTCTCCCTCTCTCTTCCTCTCTGAAATCAATAAAAATATCTTTTTTTTTTTTTAAAAAAGAACATATAGCTCTATTCATCTCATTTAAAGATCAAGTCCATTAAAACTTTACTCTTCTTGTTTAATATTTATAAAATGAATAATATATTTATGTTATTTTGATCAACCATGTATTACTGTCGAATAATCTAGAAGGAATTTTAACATCTAGTTCCTTATGATAATAGAAGAACTGAAAGCAGGGCTTGAGCAGATAATTTTGCATCCATGTTCATAGCAGTATTATTCACATTAGCCAAAAGGTGGACAACCAAAATGTCCATTGACAGATGAATAGATAAGTAAAATGTAGTATATACATAAAGTGGAATATTCAGTGTTAAAATGGAATGAAATTCTGACACCAAGTACAACATACATGAATCTTGAGGTCATTATGCTAAGTGAGGTAAGCCAGTCACAAAAGACAAATACTGTATGAATTCCATTTCTAGGCACCTGAGTAGTCAAATTCAGAGATAGAAAGTAGTCTTTTACACACATTATTGCTAATCCTCATAACTTTCAGAGATAGGTAGTACTAATTCTAACTTGACAAATGAGAAAAGACTCCCTTATGGTAAGCTTGAAAATCACCTTAGAATTTTCAGAAATAAAGTGATTTGGCAGACTCGTTTCAGCTAGAATTGATAACCAGAACAGTGAGCTGAGGTTTTTGTCTGGAAAATGAGATCACAGACCTGCAGATTTAAGCAAAAGCATGGAATATTTGTTACAAGCAGGTTCAGCTCCCCGCATGAGGAGGGGCCCCAATAATGGGTGTCTGGTGAAGCTAATCAGTCTACTCTAGAGGTATATATGTGCTACAAGCCTGCTCTCTATCTGTCAACACCTGATTGATTCCCTCAATTGTGCTTGCCCAGCTACAGGCCTGAACTATCCTGTCCCTATGGGTCAGTTCACCTTATTGTTGCAGACTCTTCCTACTTTCACATACCTCCTGCTCTGAGCCTAGAAACATTTCTTATTCCTGCATGGTAGGTTTCTGTGATTAGGCCTGCTCAAACTGCCATGTCTGGCCCTGACTACATGTCACCTGCCTTTGTTTTCCATTGGACCCCTGCCTGTCTGCCTGCATGTCAAGCTAACTCCTTTCAGATTTTTAAAAGTCACAATCTTTTTTTTAAAAAAATATATTTTTATTGATTTCAGAGAGGAAAGGAGGGGGAGAGAGCTAGTAACATCAAGGATGAGAGAGAATCATTGATGGGCTGCCTCCTGCACGCCTCCGACTGGGGACTGAGCCCACAATCTGGGCATATGGCCCAACTGGGAGTCGGCACCGTGACCTCCTGGTTCATAGGTCAGCGCTCAGCCACCGAGCCACCCCCTGGGCAAGCCTGTAAAACACTCTCTGGGGTCCCTTTCTCTTTCCAGGGAAGACTGTGTCTCCCTAGGCACCCAGCGCAGGCAAGACAGACAGGCCTGGAGCAGAGCGGAGCCAGGCAGCCAGCAGGAGCCCGGCCGAGGTTGCTACCAAGCGGAACCTGATGATGCTCGAACCTTTTGACCCGTTTTGCACTGAGTGAAGTTCCCTTCGTCACCACACTCCAACCTGGGGTTCTTGCGGGTTGAACTGGTTGACGACCCGCATAAAGTCATGTAATTTAAAAATAGGTGCTACAGAGAATGCGTTCAAAGAGCACAGGGGTAAGGTTTTTGCACACACTGGGTCCCACATACTTTACGTTCCCTTGCATTTTCTGCCGATTCTAACGCACTGTTTTCTTTCTTACTCTCAGAGGACGACTGTAACCTCTTCACTGCCTAATGCACCTCTCAGCACTGAGCCACCCCCCACGCGCTGGGGCATAAAGCACGTTGTGTAAGTTAGCAGAAGCGCGGCGCCACCTGCACGCCACGCCCCCACTTCCGGCAGCCCGCCCCCCTGAGGCGCCCTCCCCG